GGAGGGGTTCTCTTTTTTTTTTTTATAGGGGTGGGGCCCGTTCAAGGGTGTTCTGATAATTCTAAAACTTTGAGGTTCTTTTTAAACCTACTTTTGAATAATATACACTAACATGAAAGTGTCCTTTTCACACCAATCTTAACACTTCTGTCTTAAAAATTGATACAAGTTTTCAAAAGTCTCAAAAATTTAGATCCCCTGGTGTACCAGCTGGTCTTCTTTTCCTTTTATTAGAAACCCCAAAATTCTCTGCAGAATTAAAAGCTTCAGAAGAGGAAGATGGACTAAGAAAAAGAAAGAAAAGGAATAAATAAAAGAAAAGCATAAATAAAAAGGAAAAATGGAGAATTATTTTAATGAAATTGACATATGGCAAGTAAGGATTTGTGCATGACAAGCACTTCCGTTCTTAATATTGGAGTTGGCCGAGAAAGAGGGTAATAATACCACTTAGAAGTTGTTCGTAGGAATTTAAAGATCGTAATTGAAAATGAGGGACTAGTTTGAAGGGGTCTTTATATACCCCAGAAAGAAAAAAAAAATCAAAAGAAAAGATGCTTGCTTTAGGCCTTATGGTATGCATATGATCTGCGAATTACTGTTTTTAGTTTGTAAATGTTATTATTTTCCATGTGCAAACAGAACTCAGTAGCTGTATCTTTCGCGATGTGCTTCCAGTCAGGTCATCTCGAGTTACATTGTAACTACAATTGGAACTATAATATTAACAATGATCTTGCTTAGTGATTCACTGTGTAGTTGATGCATCTAGGCAAACCCAATTTTACTCTTTTACATAGAATGACACAATATGTGTAAACTAACACATCTTATACTATTTGGTTCCTACAGCATGGATGTATTCCAGAGAGCGAGAAGCTGCCCCTTGAAGAGAAGAAGCCCCATTATAGCATGCTGCAAATTCGGAACTTTTATTGCAGCGTTGCATAAAACGACTGGTATGAGAATTACGAGGTCTCAAATGCAATTTGACATATGAATTAGATGTTGCTGTAACATATTAGGTCAGTAGATTCTTTATAGTTGTATACCCCTGTAATAAAGTGAGCCCATCAATTGAAAGTTCATTATTGGGGAGCACCTTGTTTATCCTTGTTCTGTAGACCAATAGGTTGAGGGGGTTTATGTCCTCTTTTTGTACTTCTTACAATGAGGTGTTCTTAGAACAATAGGTTGATAGGAAAGAGGTGGGGCTCTTTGATTCACTTGAACATTTCATATAATTCACTTACAGGCCATCTAGAACAACTTCATCACTATAATCTAGAGAATCTTGATCTTACATTTAACTTTCGTCTACCCTTTTCGACATGTAAGTGGAGCAGCCTCACCATTTTGGATTTATCACACCTGTTGGTGCTGGACTCGTTGCAGTCTCCTTGAATGGGAAGTCTTCCACTGTTATGTACTCGGAGCACTTCATTGATGACCATTGACTTGAATGGGAATCAATTTGAAGTGCTTTGAGTACATTACATTGGACGACTCCAACAACAACAACAATCCAGTATAATCCCACAAGTGGGGTCTGGGGAGGGTAATGTGTACGCAGACCTTACCCCTACCCTAGGGTAGAGAGGTTGTTTCCAATAGACCATCGGCATCCTTCCTTCCAAGAACTCCCCACCTTGCTTTTGGGGTGACTCGAACTCACAACCTCTTGGTTGGAAGTGGAGGGTGCTTACCATCAGTGGGACTCCCATTGAAATTATTCTTTCTCAAGTCTAGCACCGATAGCTCAGCCATGCTATCCAAGCAATGTGGAACTGACTCACTGAAGTTGTGTGATAAATCCAGAAGGTTAGGGTAAGACTGCTAAAGTTACACATTGAAAAAGTAGACGACCTTGAAGGAAATTAAATTTAGGATCAAGATATTCTAGATTATAATAATGAAGTTGTTCTAGGTGGCTTGTATGAATTATATGAAAGGTTTAGGTAAATCAATGAGTTTCACGTCTAAACTATCGACGCATTGTTCTACATAACACCTCCTATCGACGTATCGTTACGTCTGCAGGGATTTTAAGTTACTATACCATGTTCGTGTTTGACACATTCAATCATTATAGAGCAATATGTACGAGTAGATAATAAATGGTACCTTAGATATGCGAAACTATTTTAATTTGAAAGCAAAAATAATATCGAACCGGTCTATAAATTTTTGTGACGTTTATTTCCTTTCATGTTTTATTTAGTATTAACCGTGAGGATTCTTGGTTCTTTATTTAAAAATTATTATTAAAGAACTGTTATATGTGAAAAGGAGAGCTAAATTTTCTTTCCCACTTCCACTGAAAAAGCTTTGTGCTTATGTAAGGTTGAGTTCTCGTCTTCATATTTTAAAAATTTTCGCGGTGACGTCTATCTATCTATATGTTATATTATACTAATTTCACAGTAATCAGGTTAGTCAGGCAAATACACATTTATATGATTTTCTAACTGTATCAGTATCAAATTTGATAAATTGACTGCACTTATATTAATGAGGATTGACTAATTTTTTGTAATCAAAATGGCTCATTCAAAACCTCCTCTGAGATTCACAATTTAACAAATCTATACTTGATGCATTTATACGAGTTAATTTAATCTTTTCGATATGTTAAAGATATTAATCAACTTGAAGATTAATGTAATAATATTTATTAATTTTAAAATTAAAAAGAATGCATTTACAATTGAATAGAATATAGTATAGTGGTGTTTGTCATAACTTACTAAAAGAATACAGTAAACGCGAGGACTATTTCAAAATGCACGTATATATCATCTAAATCCAAATATTGTTCATTAAAAATCCTTTTTTTCTTGATATTCCATTATGCTTCTATCATTTCGCATCAACTCACGATCAAATCTTAGTAAGTAGAGACAACTAGCGTGGGAGAGAATTGTCCCTCATAAAACCCAAATGTTTTTGCTACATAAAATCCTTCTAGTAAACTTACGATCAAATGTTAGTAAATAGAGACATTGTTTAACCAGAAAATAAGAATTGCGGTCAAAGCTTAATTTTAGAAAAACTCGGGTTACTGGTAATCAAATAAGGAAATGACTAGGTAATGAAAAGGAAGAATTAAATTGAAAGGTAGCAGAGTAAGCAAAGCAAAGTAAATCAGTGTATTCCAGTAGTATTCTCTGTCCTTTACAAATGTTATTCTTCTCCTTTTATAGCTATTCCTAAGTACTATGTTTCTGTCCTCTCATAATAGAGCCATTATGAGCAATTAATGGTATTAAGAAAACGTTATAATTGGCAATCGTAACTGTTTCGTGAAGATTCTACAACGTTTTCCATCATTGATGCTCATTAATTTCAGATAATATGTATCTGTACTTTTTGCTATCTAGATTCATTCTTCCGATGTCTCTTCAAATTACCAAGAGATCCGAGTAACCGCTCCTTCTTGTTTTCTCGAATCTTTGCCCGTGCCTATTAAGGCTCGTGTCTCTTTGAATACTCTTTGCTAGCTGTCATTCTTTCATTGATCCACGTGTCATGACATGTCAGCACATAATTAATTCCAAATGTTAACTTGATTTTTTCCAATACAGATAGTCCCCCACTTGTCATTTATTCATCAATTGAATATTTGGGAAATGGATCTCATTAAAGCGGGAATTTTTGCCACCATTCTACATATCATTATACCTTCTCCAGAACTGATGCTTCGTATGTCACTTCCATTTAATGCATGTGACACGTGGTGACTTTTGATTAGTTCTGTAACCCTTCAGCGTCTTTTAAGGCTCTTTTACGGCTTACATCAATCACGAAGTGACAGTTTTTATTATAACGTTCCCATCATTACCTTTTTGTTTAACGGTTGCTTCTGAGTATAAATATACCCTTTGTCTTTTCTTTCTTAGAAAAGTTTTCCATCTTTGAGTATTCAATCTTCTCTTCTTCCTCGTACAGCTATGTCTTCTTCGAACCCTAATCCCCAAAGAGTTCCTATTGTAGTTGAACTTCCTCTTGCTCCTACTAGAAGCAGGAGAGGGGGAAGATTGCGTAGTCTAGGGTCGGTTTCTATTAGAGGCTCTTCTTCTTCTCTACCTAGTTCCACTCTTCCTTCATCTTCTAGAACTAGGGCTTCTCTGACACATAGGTCTTCTGACAGAAGTATCGATTCCAATGAGCCAATTCGTGAACCTACGCGAGATTATCCCTTCTGAACTTTCTTTTTATACTGATAGAGAATCAATTAGGAATCAGGTTTCCTCTATGTCCCCGTGAACCTACAGTAGACGAGATTATCCTTTATGAACTTTCTTTTTATACTGATAGAGAATCAATTAGTAACTAGGTTTCCTCTATGTCTTCTCATGATCGTGCTGATGTTTTCCCTTCACAGATTACTGAAGGCTTGATCTCTATTGTTCGTAGAGATTGCCATTGGAGTTTCGATTTTCCAATTCTGATCCCTAATGCAAATCAAAGGATTACTTCTTTCAAAGCTGGCTTTTCTTTTGTGTATACGTTGTAAGCACGTGATTTTTGCCCTATATGAGAATTACTCCAAAAAAATTCAAAAAATAAAATANACGTACCCTTTTACCTTGGGCTTTAGACCCCCTATTGATCCAGTCATTATTGAACTTTGTCGCTTCTTCAATGTGTGTTTAGGACAAATCGGCCCTATTGTATGGAAGGTTGTTGCATGTTTAAGGTATTTGGCTAATTTGGCTAAATTGTCTTTCACCTTTTTTCATCTGCTCCATCTCTACTCTCCTAAGTTGTTCTGGCATGGAATTTTTACTTTGGTGGCTAAGAGTAAGAGGGTTTTAGTCAGCCCTGAGGATGATAATCGTGGCTGGTACGCCAGATTTGTTGCTGCTCCTACGGTAGGGTTAGTAGGTGAAGAAAATATACCATTCCCCGAAAAGTGGAATTTTGCACGTAAGTTTTCTTTACAACTTTCTTTCTTCTCTTTTCCCTTTTTTGAGAAAGGGTTTGTACTTCCCGTGACTGTTTCACTTTTCTTTTTTCAGCAACCATGGGAACTGTTGAAAAGATTCCAATTTCCGTGGTTGAGTAGAGAAATTGTTGACCATTGCTCCGATGGAAGTTAGATCTTGGAAATACCTTTCAAATAGGTTTGGTGAAAGGTTAATACTCACGGTAAAAACTTTATTCCTTTCCTTCTATTTTTATTCATTCTTTCTTTAGAGTGTATTTGACCCTTCTTTTTATCAGGATTTCCTATTCGTGGTGTAAGCGCTGAGTCAATCGCAGCTTCTAGACTTTCTTTGGCAGGAGCTCAGGAGATAATCTTAAGCTCTTCATCGAAAAGGAAAGCTGGCAAACCCCAGGAATCTGAAGAGGAGCAGGAAGGGATGGAAGTTCTTTGGTTAGAAGGTCGTGGGCTAGAAGACGCGTCATTTCGGATGACGAAGTTATTCCTCCTCGTTCTGTTCCTATGACCGAGCCTGTTGAAGCCACTTTAGTGAGTTCTGACGAAGAGACTCCCATGGCAGCTCGTGACTCTGATGAACAACTTTTTTCGTGTGGGTATGATAATGAAGGTTTTGATTTGGTGTGTGAGGAAGTGCCTTTTGCCTCTTTACCCGTATCTATCCCAATGGAACGCCCTTTGCTTGTTCTTACTGTTGTTGTTTCTGCTCTACCTCAAGCCATTATGACTTCCTTTACAGTCCATGCTACTAATATTTCTCGAACTGAAGTTGGTTCTTCAAGTGGAAGTAGAGTGATGAAGCAAATTACCATTAAGATTCCTACCGATGGTAATCTTTTGAAGAAGTCAGGCCAAGATGACGTATGGTTGAAACCCTTGATTGGTCCAGTTGAAAAGTCCAAGCTAGAAAGTCATAGTTCTTTGATTTGGATGAATGACATCATGCAATCATCATTGAAGGTATTAATTTCTTTTCATGTTCTATTCCATTCTCCTTTTGCTAAGATTCTTATCCTTCTTTTTATGTAGATCAATCTCATCGGTACAGAGATGATGAAAAGGGTTTCCCATACAGAGCAATTGATGCATGATTACCAGATTGGGGCAGACAATTGGAAAGAGCAGTATGAAAGTCTTCAGCTTGAGATGGAAGTTTTAGAACAAAACAAA